AGGAGGAGGAGCAGGAAAAGGAGGGGGATGATGATGATGATGATGATGATGGTGGTGATGGTGATGATGATGATGTGATGATGATGATGACGATGATGATGATGATGATGGTGATGATGATGATGATGATGATTATGATGATGATGATGATGATGATGGAGGAGGAGGAGAAGAAGAAGGAGGGGGGGAGGAGCAGGGAGGAGGACGACAGAGGGTAAGTATGAGCCCAGGCGGTTTTCCTCCTGTTTCTCCTCTGCTCCTCTTCCCCCTCCCAACTCATCCGCCTCATCTGTATGTTCCTTAACCGCCTCTGCTTCCTCCCAGCCCCCTTTCATTCCATTAGTATTGCTATTTCTCCGTCTCGTCATCGTTACTGTCATTGCCACCCTCCTCGGCATCCTCAGTTTCCTCTTGGATGACCAACCAGAGCCCGCCTCCGCTCAGTTCTCGTGTGCCTCCACCCCGCCAGTATCCTCCTCGTTATCCTCCTCCTCCTCCCTGATCCTCCTCCGCCCCCTCTTCCTCCCGCCACCCATACATTCGATCATTACCCATCTCCTCTTAATCCTCATCCCCCTTCGACCAATACTCGTAATTTCCCTCCTATGGTGGCTGTTGTCCCGTCTCCTCCTCTTGTCCTTTTGTGGCATCACATTGTCCAGTTGTGTGCCGCTGCTTGTCGCCAAGAAGCGTCTCAGGACCGCTGCCTTCTCTGCGGTGGCGTCGAAGCCAACCGCGATCACTTCCACGAGGATCGGCACAAGCAGGCGGGGCCCACTGATGATGATAAAGACTGCAGTAGAAGGAGGGGATGTTGGAACCGCTGCGCGTATAGCTCGCAAATGAGGCGTTAGAGCTCACATGATGAAGTATGGCTGGTCAGTTTGTGAAAAACGCTGGCAAAGGCCACGCACATCAGTCCAGCCACAATACACAGCTCTATGTTTCATGTTCCTTAGTCGAAGAGGCACGGTTGACCAGCAGGACATCATAGCACCATCGGGTGTGCAAGTGGCAATGTTTATATAGCATGAGTAACAGGACAGTCAGCATACCAGGGCAGAGAGAGAGAGAGAGCATGTGCAAGGATGTAAAGCCATGACTTCTGGGAGAGCATCATCAGTGGCAGCATCGGGCGTATCAAAAGCTGCTCTCTGTGCCGAATTATGGAGCAGCGGTTCGCTCCCGTGTGCAATCATGCGGGCATCCGCGTCGGGTTTCCAACGGATTGCTTCCAGTGCCACGAAACGGGTCTCGCAAGCAGTTATGATCGTAGATCGTCGTGTTAGTTGTTTCCTCCCTCTCATTCCCCTTTACCGCCCTTCGTGTGCCATCTCTATCTCTCTCTCCTACCCGCGCAGTCTGTCCAGGGATTCCTCTAGCGTTGCCGCCAAAGTAGCTCTTCAGCTTCCAGGGGCCGTTTTGTAGATCGTCGTTGGTTCAGGCCTCGTGGCTTCCGCCTGGAGGAAGGCATACGAAGCAGCAGCAGTGGCAGGACAAATCAGCGAGGCGTGATCAGGAGGAGGAGGAGGAGAAGGAGGAGGAGCACCAGGAGCTGGAAAGTGAGGAGGATGAAGAGGAAAAGACGGACGAGAAAGGGAAGGAACCGAGGAGGAGTAATGCGGACAAGAAGAATATGAGGATGAGGATATGAGATGATCGAATACCGATGAGAAACATACAGAAAAAGAGGATAGCATGTACGCGATGTGGCTGGACATCCATAATCGGAACTAGAGAATAGCGAGCCAAGATGGAATGAGGACTCGAGTTCAGAGCGCATAGACAAACAGGACAGGTAGAGGGGGAGAGAGAACGAGAAAGAGAGAGAAAGAGAGAGAGAGAGAAATCACAAATATGGCACAACATATTATGATGCACCAGACCTTGTCAGGGAAAGGGGAGTAGCTCGAGGAAGCAGACACGGACGCGAAAAAAGGCGGCCGATGACATTGGGGATGGTGGCGCTTGGGGGAGGAAGACGAGAGATCAGGAGTAGAAGGAGGAGGAGGAGAAGCAGGAGAAGAAGGGCGAGGTTCAGTCGTTCGTGCAAGTGGCCGAGGAGCTAATCGGACGAGGAGCACCAGCGGCGAAGTGCAGGGGCAGAAGGGCACAGGATGATAAGGAAGAGGAGGGAGAAGAGGCGGAATGGGAAGGAGGGAGAGGCTGAGGTGGAGGGCACACATTATAGGATGATGCGGTGGAGGATGATGCGGTGGAGGAGGAGGAGGAGGAGGAGGAGGAGGAGGAGGAGAAGCAGGAGGAGGAGGAGGAGCAGGAGCAGGAGGGGCATGCAGGACGAGGAGGAAAAGGAGGAGGAGCAGGAGGAGGAGCAGGACGTGCAGGAGGAGGAAGAGGAGCAGAAGCAGGAGGAGGAGGAGGAGGAGGAGGAGGAGGAGAAGGAGGAGAAGGGGGCGACAGATGAAGCAGCTCTGGGAGAAGACCATCGGCCGCGTGCTCGCCCCCATGGCAGCCGAGCTGGAGGCGCAGGTTCTGGGCGGGCGGCCACGGCCGGCCAGGGTGGGGGAGGGGTCAGGGAGCGTTGCAGGGCAGAGCGACGCAGGTGGAGGAGGAGGAGGAGGAGGAGGAGGAGGAGGAGGAGGATGGGGAGGAGGAGGAGGAGGAGAGGAGGAGGAGGAGGAGGAGGAGGAGGAGGGATGAGGAGGAGAGGAGGCGGAGGAGGGGAGGAGCAGGAGGAGGAGGAGAGGAGGAGGAGGGATGGGAGGAGGGGAAGAGGAGGAGGAGGAGGGGAGGAGGAGGAGAAGGAGGAGGAGGAGGAGGAGGAGGGGGAGGAGGAGGAGGAGGGGCCGAAGCTCATCGTTTGGGTGCAGCGTAGCCCAGCTGGAAGAAGTGGCGCTTCCGATGCTGCAAGTCTGCGCACGCTTGTCGAAGGACCTCGGCGAATCGGGGGCCTGGGCGAGAGAAGGGGCGTGCGCCCCTGGCACACAGACGCAACGGGCCTGCTGATGGTGTGACATCTTGTGGAATACGCCTCTTCGGGGTCGGACGAACGGGGGGGATTTGGAACGGGAGGGGTACGACATCTGCTGCATGCGATTGTATTTGTCCCCGCCGCCTCAGGTTCTTGCCTCGACACGCTGGCGCGCCTCTGGCGCTGGGGGACGCCAGGAATCCCCGCCACTTGAGCCGACTCGCCAACCCCCTTTTTTGCCAAGCCCCCCTCGCGTCCGCTCCGATGTCTCCCATGGACCGGACCTTCTATGACGCCAGAGTGCATCTCCTCCAGCCGAGAAGCTGAGAGGAAGTGACGGCGTGGGCGATGGGGCCCAGTCGCCTGGGCCCCATGCCAGAATAAGTCCCTCCAGAGCGTTCAGGAGCGGTCTGGAACGGCCGCGGCTCACAACATCCTCCAGAAGCGCCAGATTTCAAGTTTCCCCGATTTGTCCTGTGGAATTGTGTCGTCCCAGCTCTGACTTCGTCTTATATACTTGGACGGACGCGCTGCTGGGCTCCCACACGGATTCTGTCTGATTGGAGCTGTCTTAGAGGGTTCCAAGGTGCTCTAGGCAAAAGGCCGCCCTTTCATGGTGGCTGGTCTGGGGGGGCGGTCTAGAACTGCTCGTCTGGGAGGGTTGTGACTCCCCCCCCTTTCATTAGGAAGTATAGAGTAGTGGGGGGGCCCGACGTGTGTCGCTTTCTTGCGGCGTGGGCAGAGCACCGTTCGCGTGGACGTCGCCTCGGCCCGCTCGGGTGAGGCCCATCGGGCCAGGCCTCGGCCTTCGAGGCTTCTTCTGGCACGTCGAGGGCAGTGCTGATCAGCACGTGAGCGCGTTTTTTTTTCACCCCAGGGTAACGCTCGCTACCTGGGCCAAGCCCCCCCTGTCCCCCCCCCCCCCTGGGTGACGCAAACGATCGTATTGGGGGTGCGGCCTGGACCCCCCCCCTACATGATGTGGTGCACATAGGCGATTGATGCGCCGGTGGCGCGGAAGCACCCTGGCGGGTGCACGCCGCGGCCGCCGTTACCGTTGCCCTTACACCCGACCCCCCTCCTGGTAAAAACGAGCCTTACCCATGAAAAAACCGGTCCCCGCGAGGTATGTTCTCCCAGGCCCAAGCCCCTAGTGTCTTGAGCACGTCCATATAGGTCATGATGCAGGGGTTCCAGAGCTCTGAGCCCTTCTCGGCGTATCCCGATACTTGCCCATGTTCGGCCTCGTTCTTATTCGAAACCACTGTTTCGATCAATCTACGGGCTGTTCAGCCCTCGCGCGATCAGGGGGATCGGTTGGTTTTGCCGAGACTGCTGGTCATGGACACCTGGCTCTTTTCTCGTCGATTGCAGTTTGACTTTGCTTTAGACTTCCAGGGTCTGTAGCAGACCGCTGATCGTGTCAGAAGTCTTGGCAGGACGGTCGCGTCTCGCACCCAGAGGCCCGTGCGCATTGGCATTGCGTTCAGCAAGGTAGCTACAGATGGCCACGTCACGACGCCGCGCGGCGCTACTCAAGTACCCATCGGTCGTTGAAAGTATGTATTTTTGGATTCCCAGATTCCAAACTACTTTAAGCGCCTTCCTGCTTCAATAATCGAGTGGCCTCACCTTTTCCGTTCTACTTAGGGGGCGGGCGGAGACCCAATCTATTTCGAACGCCTTCCTACTTCATGCTTCTACCTATTTGTTCCGACCGATTGGTAGTTTTACCTCGCTCTTTCTTCAACGTTGCGATGGCAATCGTGCCCCAAAACAAGCATTCGCTGTCGTGGCTGTCGGTGTTCTACTGAATGAGTCCGCTTTCTTGCTGATGTAAAATGCCCCCTAATCATGACGGCCTGTGCCTTGTTCGTCTCGAAGGTGTCTTTTCATTTGCGCATAGGTTTACATTCACCCGTAGATACACATACGTTCAAGTATGTGTTCGCACGGCGTGTGAAGAGGATCAGCGCCATCACGGAGATCATTGTTTCGTTTCTGATGACGACGTTGCACCAAGCGCTTCAAACATTGATCGTATTAGCGCCCTCCTCGAGCTTGGGTCAGAGTGTAGCCGTTTTGGCTCAAGCCAGTTTGGCTCAAGTGGTTTCCTCGGCCCAACCAATTACAGACTGCGCTGTAAGTTCCGAGCGCGCGAAACGTTTGAATGCTTGACCTCTCGCACCTTCTCGCTGCCTGCCTTGTTGCACTCCCAGGTCGCAGCGCCGCTCTGGAGGTGGAGTTCGCGCCAGACCTCAGCTCATACCGCGTGGCGCACGCCGGCTTCCCGCTCTTCGTTGCAGAGGGGGGCATCGCGGTGTTCTGCGACGGCGCCTGGCACAGCCAGTCTCAGGGCTCGCTGCAGCTTGTCGGCCAGGTGCCCGTCTTCGGCACGGACGGCCAGCTCGGAGATTACACGGGCAGCGAGCTGACCTGGAGGGCCGGCGGCACCAGGCTGGTGACCACTGCTTGGACGTACAAAACGGGTCGCGACGTGGCATTCCAGTATGCTTTCCCGGATGGCGCCGCCGGCACATCTACGGTGGAGCTCGCAGGCACCGACAGTTCCGAGGTCATCGTGAACTTCCCTGCGTTTACTCGCGTGTCCTTGGCCAATACGCTGTCTTGGGAGGGCAGCTTCGTTCAAGGAAAATTGGATCAGTGGTCAACAGGCCCGAGGGGCGGGCCGACTGTTTTCTTCAACAGCTCGGATCCAGAGTTGAGAACCGTAGTAGTTGCAAGTGCCCTCGATAATTTCAAGGCGACATCTGCTGGACCTGGGAGGACCTGGAATGGCACGCGGGCGTGGGTGCCTGGAACACCTGGCACAATTGTCAGCCTTCCCAAAGGGTGGACCCAGACATTCTTGCTGCACTTGGGGGCATCAAGGGGCATCACTGCTGCGATCGGTGAGTGGGGTGAACTGCTACAAGCAGTGCACAGGACTCGGAAGTTGCAGGACGTGACGTTGGACAAAATCGGTTATCAGACTGATAACGGTGCCTACTACGTGTTCTGTCGAGGCAATTGCTCCGACTTCCTTTTGAAAAAGACGTCGGAGCTTACGAAGCTTGGTGTTCCCATGGGGTACCTATCGTTCCAAGGATCAGGGGCATCTTCCTTGTCGAAATCGACGGGTGCAGACCGCTTTGAAGGAGGCGCACCATGGTGTGTCAACACGTGGGGTGTCGATGGAGGCCTCGGCGGGCAGTACCCGCTGCCTCTGCCAAGCTTTCATAAAGCGTTGGGCTTGCCCCTGCAGCTCTACGCGCCATACTTCTGCCCATCGTCCGAGTACTTCAACGCCACTTCCCAGTGGACCTCTGTGAAGAGTGATGCAAGCGTCTGTCCAGGTTATGACTTTCAAGACGTCGCACCGCACCAATCCCGCGCCTTCTACGATTGGTTTTTTGCCAAGGGGTTGACGGTCGGCATGGTGTCCTTCGAGCCAGACTTCATGAACCAGAACTATAATTGTGTACCCGCATTTACGCGATCGGCCACCAATGCCACCATATGGCAGCATGGCATGGCCGATGCCGCGTTGGCAAAGAACTTGTCCATCCAGTGGTGCTACGCCGCTCCGACTGACGTGCTTGCGTCCCTGAAAATGCCAGCCGTGACCAACTTCCGTGTCTCCACTGATTTCTGTTATGGCAACAGCTGGGATGTGGGAGTCTCCTCGCTGCTCGTGTGGGCTGTCGCCGCAGCACCCTCGAAAGACACGCTGTGGACTTCCGACAATGGCCGCTTTCAGGTCGCCGGCTGCCCATGGACTCCCGACCACGAAAATCCTGGGACAGAGTTGCACGTCGTCTTGGCGCTGATGACCACAGGCCCAGTGGGAATCTCGGATGGCATCGGCTTCACCAACGCCCGCTTGATCATGCGGACGATGCGGGCAGATGGCATGTTACTAAAGCCATCGAAGCCGGCGACGAGCGTGGACTCTTCCTTGGCTCGGAGCCCTCGCAGTCCACCAGGCGTTGTGTATTCGACGTTCTCCGGCAGCAGCAAGCAGGAGGTGATGGCGCACTACTTCGTGTCCTTCATGATGAAGACGAATTGGACCATAGCGGCCGACGACTTCTACCCACCCCTGCGGGCTGGAACCACTTACGTGTACCGCCGCTTCCGTGACGGAGCCCGCTGTACAAATGGCACCGCAGGAGCCCTGTGTGTGGCCACACTCTTGGGCAGCGGTGATGTTTCAAAGCTGGCCCTACCTATCCCCAAGTCTGACTGGAGCAACACCACTGGTGGCACCAACTATGCGCCGATTGTCATCACAGTTTTCCCAGTTTGCGCTTCGGGGTGGGCATTGCTCGGTGATCTTACTAAGTACGTCGCTGTCTCAACGGTGCGCTTCCAGAACGTGGTCTGCACAGCCAAGGGCATCTCGGCCGTGGTGCTAGGGCTGCCTGGCGAGATTGTAACGGTCACCTTCTTGAAGCCTCACGGCGAATCCACAGTGGCATCTGAGTCTCTCGAGTTGACCCTTGCCATCCCATCTCACGGCTCCGCGTCGCTCGACCTGCCGAGGGGGCCGAGCGACGTGCAGGTCCTGGTCTGAGCAGCGCCTGCTTCCACGCCCCGAGCCTCGCCTGCGCGCGCACTCCTGCGCTCCCTGTCGCCCCTTGCGGGCCAGAGCCCCCTCGTCGCCGTCGTCACCGACCTCGTCGGCGTCGTCGTCGGCGGCGTCGCCGTCGTCGTCGGCGTCGTCTGCGTCGCCGGCGCGCCGCAGACGACGCCGCCGACGCCGTGGCGTCGTCGTCGCCGCCGGGCCAAACAACGGCAGCCCGCTCCACCCAAAAGCGGTACCCAGAGCCGCTGCCCCAGGTTGCGCAGCACGGCACCGTCGCCGAGCCGCCTCGCGCGGAGGAGGGGCGGCGCATGCCTAATGAGCGCCTTCGATAGCGGTCCCCGACAGTCATGCTCGCCGCTCCGCGCGGGGCACGTGAAATAGTCCGATACATGCACATATCTATATATGTATATATGTATGTGTGTATATATACACATGGAGAGAGGGAGCAACCAGAGCAACCACAGCAACCACAACAGCATCATTATCATCTTCAACAACAACAATGAGCTTGATATGATTCGCTCTTATTCGCTCGCGCGTCACTCAACATGTATGTCCCGAACCTTCGATATCCCCCCATCTTCGTCTTCGTTCGTACCCCCCCCCCCCTTAGGGGTATGTAGGTCGCGCAGCCACTAAAACAGGGGGAGGGGGGGAGGGAAGGGACAACGAGGAGGGAGAAGGATCGATCACGAAACAGATTAGCAGGAGAGGGGCAGGGAGCAGCACAATGAGCGGCAGAAACAGAAGGGCGTGTCGGGCGGACAGACCATAAAGGGCGGGTCGGGCGGGCGGGCCCAAGTCGAGCAGGCGGGTCGTTGAAGCATCAGTCCTGCATGGATCCTGAGAAAGTCTAAAGCGATAGCGCGAGTCTTAAGTAAATCGTAGGGAAGTCCAGAGCGAGAGCATGATTCCTGAATGTCGAGGGCGTGGCGTTTCAGTATCGTGGGAGGACGTCCCACGCGAGAGCGCGATTCTTCCATACGTGTTATCCTCACTTTGGTCAGCAGCATCAGTACCATACACTATAGTATACAATATGTGTTGTGCAATTTATGTGGTGCAACCTACGTACCGCAATGTATGTGGTGCAGTCTATGTGGTGCGGTCCATGCGGTGCAAAATATGTGGTACAATGTATGAGATGCTATCTATGCGGTGCAACATAAGTGGTACAAGCTACTGGGTGCAACCGGCGCGTGCAATATAGGCGGTGCTTTCCACGTTGTTCCATATTTGTTGTGCAGTTTTGGTGGTGCCACCTATGTTGTGCACCTCATGGTGTGCCATCTATGGGGCGCAAAATTTGTGGTGCAACCGATGCTATGCGATTTATGTGGTGGTATCTATGTAGTGCGCTTGATTTGTTTACAATCGTCTTGACAACCCCCATACCCTTGCAAACTAGTTTGTAACAAACATGTGGCAGCGATTGCGATGAGTGCTTGGCGTTGGCTGGTGCATCTTTGCGACCGCGCTAGCCCGCGCATGCTCGCGCGCACAGCGGCAAGCTAGTTCTGGCCCGATCGACGCAACCGCGGTGGCACTGACCGCTGGGCACTTCCCAGCGGGCACTTCAGTGATAGTCGGTGTCTTGGGCGGGCGAGGTATCATCGCGAGGCCGACAGTGGTAGACGCAATGATGATAGTAGCGATGATGGGGACGGTGCTGACGTTGACGACGGCAAGGCCCATGGTGGCGCCGATGTTGATTACGCCCGCCGGTAACGATGACGATGTCCTCGCGTCAGCGATGGAGGTTTTCGAAGGAGTTCGGCATGCGCGCGCGGCCGACGCGCGCGAGTGGCCCACGTGGTATTATTTGAGATGGATCGTCCCCCCCTCCCGAGCACGCGCGCAAGGGTGTTCGAATAATTTCGACTTGCGGCGCGAGAGGCCCGCTAGGCAGACTTTGATGAACATGCTGGAAAGCTGATGGCATTCGTAACAAAGCGCACGACCGCGAGAGCAGAATTGTCTTTGAAAACTGATGTTGCACAGCCGCGTGGTTTGATATGTTTTCGGGGGGCTCGGTTTTGGAGTCGCTACGACACCTCCGGTTTTTTACAGGGTATCGGCATGCGCGCGCGACGACGCGCGCGTGCGCACTACGCCTAATGTGTTGCAAGGGATTCTTGCGACAGCACGCGCGCAACGGCGTTCGAATGATTTCGGCATGCGCGCGCGGGAGGCCCGTCTGGCAGCATTCTACATTGTGGCCGCGCGCGGCGTCGGACGGAGCCGGTTCGGACCCCTCAGTTACACTCAGTTCCCCTCAGTTACATTCAGTTTTCCTCAGTTACATTCAGTTTCCCTCAGTTACACTCAGTTTCCCTCAGTTACACTCAGTTTCCTCAGTTACACTCAGTTTCCCTCAGTTACACTCAGTTACACTCAGTTTCCCTCAGTTACACTCAGTTTCCTTCAGTTACAGTCAGTTTCCTCTAATATTTTGTTGAACGTCATCCGCTACAATGCTGGCATCAGCGCGAGGGAGAAAGGCAAGCAGTGGCAGGTCTGATTTTCGAATATTGCGTTAAACGCCTTCAGCTACAATGCTGGTATCAGCGCGAGGGAGAAAGGCAAGCAGTTGCAGCGAATTGGATTCATATCCCGTGGGACAAGGCCTTGCACGGTTGCTCCCGACGTCATTAGCTATAGTGCTGGGATCAACGCGTGGTTTAGCGTGTGGGGGAAAGGCAAGCAATGGTTGCACGTGGGAGTGAAAGGCAAGAAGTGGCAGTTTTGATTTTCGAATATTCGTATCACCGTCATCCGCTACAGTGCTGGTATTATCGGGAGGGAGAAAGGCAAGCAGTGGAGACGAATCCGATTGATATCAACGTCGTCCGCTACAGTGCGGGGATCAGAGCGTCGGAGAAAAACACAAATCGATCGCGATGAAACCCATTATCATCGTCGTCGTCATCGCCATCGTCCACATCATTGTCACCAGCATCATCGTCATCATGGCTTTGAGTGCTGCGCGACGTCATCATCACACGGGCGCAGTTTAGGTTGTCTTGAAGAATGAAACCAGGGGCGGTCGATTCGGGGCGCGGCCGCCTGCGATCTTGGTTCGGCCATATTTTCACCTTCGCTGTCTTAAGCATGCTGTGTCCTTCCTGGCCGGGAGCGGATGGATTGCATTCTCAGCGCAATTTGTATGTATGTTCCCCCTTCCCCTTCTCCTCCTTCCCCTCTTTTGCGGCTGCTTGATTTGTGCCGGACTGGGTAAAGTCAGGCACGCAGCCTAATACTTGCCAGCATTTGTGTTCGTCCCCCTCCCCCCCTCCTCCCCCTCGTCTCTCCTCCCCCTCCCCATTCCTTTCCTCCTCTTGTGGCGGTTCCTGCAAATGGGCATTCCTGTGCACCGATTCCGTGCTACACGCATGCGCGTCGCTTCCACAGTCCAGGGTTTTTGTTTCGGGCCTGGCAGGTTGCGTGAATTTGCGTACGTTCGGCTGCCAGCAGGCCGACACTCGAGACATCGATTGGTTGGTGTTTCGCGCGTTCCCTGTCCTTCATTCCCCCCCTCTCCCATGACCTGTCCTTCATGACGAGTTGGCAGGACGACGAAGACGACGGCGATGGCGACGATGATGTTCATGATGGCGATGATGACGATGATGACGATTGCGACGATGGGGACGATACCGACGTTGACGATAACGATAATGATGATGACGATGATGACGATGTTGATGATGATGACGGCGACGCTGATGACGATGACTATGACGATGGTGATGACGACGACGGCGACGATGGTGATGACAATGATGACGATGACGATGATGGCGATGATACCGACGGCGGTGCTGATGGTGATGATTGCGATGATGGTGATGATGATGATGACAATGCCGACGACGATGTTGACGACGACCACGGTGACGGTCAAGATGATGGTGATGGTGTTGTTGACGATTACGACAATGCTGGTGACGACGATGACGATGACGATGACAAGGGAAACTCTATATAACAAGCAACGTTCATCGGAGGTGAGAGGGTGAGATCGAAGTGGAACGGAGAGCCCCCCTACCGGGAAATCGATTTCGGTTTCGTGTTCGTGCGTGCCGTGCGTGCGGGCGAGGCGACGCTGCGTGGGCGGGCGAGAGGAAAGTCTCCTGTGGCTGAGGCGCGGCCGGACCAAATGATACTCCACCGGGCGGCCGGTGGCGCGCGGTGTCCCGCCGCTGTCCCGGTGGTGTCCTCTATGGCTGAGGCGCGGCCGGACCAAATGATTCTCCACCGGGCGGCCGGTGGCGCGCGGTGTCCCGCCGGTGTCCCGCCGGTGTCCCGTCGGTGTCCCGTCGGTGTCCCGATCATGATGATGATGATGATGATGATGATGATGATGATGATGATGATGATGATGATGATGATGATGATGATGATGATGATGATGATATGATGATGATGGTGATGATGATGATGGTAATGACGATGATGATGATGTTGATGATGGCGATGATGATGATGATGATGATGTTGGTGATGTTGATGTTGATGTTGATGATGATGACGTCGATTGCGAGATCGATTGTGATCGGTAGTGAGACCGAATGTGAGACCGAATGTGAGATCGATTGTGAGATCGATTGTGAGATCGATTGTGAGATCGATTGTGAAACCGAATGTGAGATTGATTGTGAGATCGATTGCGGGATCGATAGTGAGATCGATAGTGAGACCGAATCGGAAATCGATAGTGAGATCCATAGTGAGATCGATAGTGAGATCGATCGTCAGATCGATTGTGAGATCGATCGAATGAGATCGATAGTGATATCGATAGTGAGATCGATAGTGAGACCGAATGTGGGATCGATTGTGATATCGATTGTGATGTCGATAGTCAAATCGATAGGGAGACCGAATGTGAGATTGATTGTGAGATCGATTGTGAGATCGATAGTGCGATCGATAGTGAGACCGAATGTGAGATCGATTGTGAGATCGATTGTGATATCGATAGTGAGATCGATGGTGAGACCGATTTTGAGATCGAATGTGAGATCTATAGTGAGATCGATAGTGAGACCGAATGTGAGATCGATTGTGATATCGATAGTGAAATCGATAGTGAGACCGAATGGAAGATCGATAGTGCGATCGATTGTGAGACCGAATGTGAGATCGATTGTGAGATCGATTGTGATATCGATAGTGAGATCGATAGTGAGACCGAATGTGAGATCGATAGTGAGATCGATAGTGAGATCGATAGTGAGACCGAATGTGAGATCGATTGTGATATCGATAGTGAAGTCGATAGTGAGACCGAATGGGAGAGCGATAGTGAGATCGATAGTGAGACCGAATGTGAGATCGATAGTGATATCGAGAGTGAGATCGATCGAGTGCGACGTTGGTCCCTCCCCCCCCCTCACCTCCTTATCACCC